GTGTCCTATTTCCTCAGAACCTCATTAACTTTGTCTTCCATTTGCAGCCTGCAGCTCCCGTTCCATGGACCCTTCCTTTTATGAACTCCATCCAGAAGTGACTCTTCCCTGGAGCTCTTCACAGGGGGTGGTTTCCTTTGGAGCCTCCCCTGCTGACAGGGCAACAAATAAACCTGGAGTGGTCCCTCCTTCCCCACCAAACCTGCCTGCCCTGTAACCAGAAGCCTTCTGAAGGGTGCAGGAGGCAAACCTGGGCCAGGTGGGCTGAGAAGGGCTGGGGCATATCTCCTGTGGGGGGCTTGGCCCAGGCCACCTGAGGACCCTCCACCAAAACGTTCCAGAAAGCAGCTGAGCTGCTGCCACTCTTCATTTCCCCATGGAAACAGCCACGAAGGACTTGTCCCCAGGGACAGCACATGTCACATTGGATGAATGCAGATGTATCCACAGAGAACATCAAATGCTCCTTTGTCTTTAGGGCAAGCAGGGGATTTTTTTTTCACCCTCCATTGTTTGACTTGACTTTCCCCCTTTTTTTTTTTTTCTTAAATATCAGTGAAGATGGAAAGAATTAAGGTCCCAGCCCTACAGCATAAAATTTCCCTGCTTCTCAGCAATTTTGCAAGGATCCCTGAGCTCAAGCTCAAGCCACAGCTCACCACTAACGCTCTGAATTTGCTTCTGGGGTTAATAAAAGAATCAAATAGGTAAAAAAATTTAAATCTCTGACTCCAGAACGTGGCTGTTCCTGCGTGGAGGGGACCTTGCATCTTGGGATACTTAGAATTCTCCTAAAAGGTTCAATACACAATTATCAATGAAAAAAAAAGAATCCCAAACCAACAACAAAACCCCAAATCTGTTCCTCGTATCCGTAGTTACGGAGAAAACCTGGAAACCATGAGGCTGATGGGCTCCAAAACTCCCTTCACAAAGAAATAGGATGAGGAGCTGTGACATTTGTTGCTTTTACATTTATAGAACTTGTAAATGCTTCACAGAGATGATATCATTTTGTTGAACAAGAAGCTGGAGCTTTCCATGATTAGATCTCACCTTGTGTGACCTGAACTCGGAGTTTCAATCCAGGGTTGGTTTTTTTTTGGCCTTTGCCTTTGGGTAGAGTGGTAAAATTAGGACAAGCTCACTCAAATGAGCTAGTAATTATTATTAGTATTGTTCCTACCAGAGTACCTGGGGGCTCTTGGGCTAGTTCAGAGGAAAAACACAGTGACAAATGCTCTGGCAAACCCAGGCAAAGTTTTACTAGAAAACAGGGATTTTGAGTTTTTTCTTCAAAGCCAAGTAGGAGATCTCAGGTTTTAAATAAACAGGATAAAGCAGCAGGAAGGAAAAGATGGAGCCCATCCTGACACAGAACAGGAGGTTCTGTGAATCCAGAACACCCAAAATCTGCAGCACATCCCAGGATGTTACTGTTTGACCAGTGTTTTAGTGCTGACTGTGCCAGGGGTGATGGGAGGGACCACGCTGCTGGAGATGAACGTGGTGGTTTGGGTTTGTCCTTCATGATGTAGGATTTTCCATAAACTCCTGGGGTGGTTTGGTGCCCCCAGGCAAATCTTGTGCTGAGGTTCCCTGCAATGGAGGGTCAGGGCCACTGAAAACACCAGGGAAGGAGGAGAGGAGAGCACCCCAGCTCTGGTGGAGCTTCCTCAGCCTCCATCCTCACCCAGGATGTTTGGGACAAGCCCATCTCGGCCACAACACCCAGGGTGTCCCCCAGTTTAGTGCCAGGGGAGATTTTCTCAGCACAGGAGAGACATGGATATGTTTGAGCCAGTCCAGAGGAGGCCACAAAAGTGATAAAAGGGTGGAACCCCTCTGCTGGGAGCCCAGCAGGAGAGTTGGGCTTGGGCACTCAGAGGAGAAGGCTCCAGGGAAACCTTCTCGTGGCCCTCCAGTACTTAGAGACTCTCAGAAAGCTGGGGACAGAATTTTGAGCAGGGCCAGTTGGGACAGGACAAGGTGGGGTGATTTGAAATTAAAAGAGAGTAAATTCAGACTAGAGAGAAGGAAGAAAGGTTTGACTCTGAGGGTGGTGAGCCCCTGGCCCAAGCTGCCCAGAGAGGTGGTCACTGCCCCATCCCTGGCACCATCCCAGGTGAGGTTGGCCAGGGCTCTGAGGCCCCTGCTCTAGTTGGGGATGTCCCTGCTCCCTGCAGGGGGTTGGAGGAGATGACCTTGAAAGGTCCCTTCTGACCCAAACCATGCTGTGATTCTCTGTGAAGCAATTCTCCAAGGCAGGGCACAGTTTGCTTCCACAGGAGTTTTTGGAAGAGCCAGAAGCCTACACGTGCTTTCTGTGCCCTAGATTTCTTCTCCCTGGCTGATCTAAGTGGCTGACCTCCCAATTCACCCACAGTGAAGCTCACAGAGCACCCCAAAACAAGGAGACTGATCCAAGTTCTCCTGAACACCGACAGGATGCAATTGGGTGCAAAGAAGAGGGAGGGAAATGGTGGAAGAGGAGGACAACAGCCAGAGCAGCTACGTGGTCACACCTTACCCTGGATGATGTGACATCTGAGACCACAGCACGGTCCAGTGAGATGACATCCCTCCAGGTCCTGTCCCCTCTGGCAGCAGTGCAGAGGTTACAAAGGAGCTCTGCATCCTTCCCTTGGCTTTTTATTCTCTCATCTGGCCAACTTTTAGCCTACTCAATTATCTCTAAGTTGGGCAGAGACCAAAGCAGCCCCTCTGCCTTCCCCAGTCACCGTATATCCACGTTGCTTTCAAACAGGAGAATTAACAAAGCCTCAATTAGTTGATTAAAAAAACCCAAAATATTCTTAGGCAGGAAACAGACTGACCCCTGCAATTAGCAAATTAACCACCATTTACTCATAACACTAATTGCATGACTCACAGTGCCTGTATTTTGGGTTTAAAAATACAAATAAAGTCCAGAAGACCAAGGCTATGGGTCGGGGGTGTGAGGGCTTCTGAGCTGGCTCTGACTTCAGAGATGAATCAGCAGAGTCAGGCTGGTACCAGCAGAAGTGGCCTGCACAAGACACGAGGCAAGGGAGCCTCTCCCTGGAGGTTTTCATCTCTTGGCTACAGAAAAAAAACACCAAGCTTGGCCCTGAGCAAACTTTTTACATTCTAGAAAGCAAGTGAAACACACTCGTGTAGCAAAGGTTTGCTGAAATAACCTCTGGAAGGTCTCACAGTTCTAGAGTTTCAGTAAGAACAGAGACACACGTGAGTGTTTTCTTTATGCTCTATCCTTCCAATGTGTATGGAGAAGACAAAGTCTGCAAACCTCAGCCCTGCACACACCCAGCTACTATTCTGGGCTGTGACTGTCAGTGCCACAAAGCTAGAGCCTACAAGTGCAAAGCAAGCCTGGAGAATCCCAAGTGCAATCAAATCCAGGTATCTTTGCTCCATCAGAATCTGGGAACCATAAAAAATCTGGGTATTGTCCCATGTGCCTGCCAAGAGAAAGTCACCACATAAAAATGAACTGGTTTTCCTGGGGTATAGCTGTACCAGAGTGTTTTAGCCCCAAGTTGTTGGCTAGTACAAAAGCCTGGCCTATTTTATACCAGCTCTAACAGACCCAAAAGCAAAACTTCCAAGGTAAGATGCTTCAGGAGAGCACCCGACGTGAAGCACCGCGGACGGACTAGAGGGGCTCCTGTTTGGTGTGAATTCTGTGGTTTATTCACCCCGAGGGGAAGCTCCTGCTGCAGTTTCCTCAGGCCAGGGTGGGGGCAGCAGCTGGGCTGTCAGGCTGGAGGTTGATGAGGGAGTTGCTTGCCTGGGCCAGCTCAGCGATGGAGACCCGGCCCCTCTGTTTGATGTACTGAGCCACGGCGGCCATCTCCTCGGGAGTGATGTAGATGAACTTGCCCCTGTCATCAATCACACCTACAGTGGGGGGAAAAGAAAAAAGACCTTGAAGTCAGCACTTTGGCTCCTCTCGCTTCCCGACAGACATCAGTCACTTCTTTTGGAAGGGCTGTTCCAACTGCTGAGGCTGCATTTCCTATCTAGGGCAGGCAGAGCGACGTGCAGCAGCCGGGCTTTCATCTCCTCTCTCCTGCTGGCTCTTTGAGCAGGGTTATGACAATAGCCAAGTGCCTTGGCAGGACTAATTGTGTTCAAAAGGAACAAGACTTAAAAGGTCTTTTCCAACCTAGCTGATTTGGTGATTCTGTCCTTTCTGTTGTGTGGAGGTAGCTGGGAGTTCCACAGCAGCGACTTCAGGCACGGAGTTCTGCTGCTGATGTGCTCTGCTGGTGGAGAAGGAGCAGCAGGAGGGGCCAGGGGTGATTCAAAGCCCCCGTGGGGCAGCTCAGCCCTTCCAACTTACCCTCTGAAAGGGAATGGAGCCCCAATTTCCATGTTTTGGTTGCTCCTCTCAAGAGTGGGAGCAGATCTCTGTGTTGGTAACTCATGGCTGGACCAAAGGCAAGGCAGAGGACCTTGCTGCCCTGTCTTGCAGTCCACAGACACAGCCAGGGCAGTGTGTGGCCTTATGCTCTGATTCAAAGCACTTTTTAGGTCATTTGGATCATAGAATCCCAGAATGTTTTGGGTTGGAAGTGACCTTTAGAAGTCATCTAGACCAAAGCCCCTGCAGTGAGCAGGGACAGTCTCAGTGGGTACCCTGTGGACCCACCAGAGCAATCCTGGGGTGCTCTGGGCTCTGGCTTTAGCCACAGCACCTTCCAAGCAGGTTGGCAAACTACCCCCCAACATCCAAGGGATTCTTTCAGAAGACATCCCATGCAGCTCACAGCCCCTGAAGGCCTTCAGCAGAGCTCCACCCACACACAGGAGCCTGCTGCTGGTTCCTGAGCTGCTGGAGACATTCACTCCCCACCCCTGCACCACGTATCACAGGATCAATCACACCTCACAGTGCTTTGAACTGTAGCTTCACAGCAGCTGAAGCAGGGAGAATAAAAATACCTATTTAGCAAGTCCTGCTAGGATCCTCAGCACAAGGAGCACATGGACCTGTTGGAGGAGGTCCAGAGGGGGCCTCAAAAATGATCATAGGGATGGATCTCTGTGACCTCTGCTGTGAGGTCAGCAGGAGAGAGTTGAGAGAGATGAGCCTGGAGAAGAGAAGGCTCCAGGGAGACCTTCCTGTGGCCTTCCACTACTTCAAGGGGCCTGTCAGGAAGCTGGGGACAGAGTTTTGAGCAGGGCCTGTTGGGACAGGACAAGGAGGGGTGGTTTGAAACTCAAAAGAGGGAGAATTAGACTGGATAGAAAGAAGAAATATTTGACACTGAGGGTGTTGAGCCCCTGTCCCAGGCTGCCCAGAGAGGTGGTCACTGCCCCATCCCTGGAACCATCCCAGGTGAGGTTGGCCAGGGCTCTGAGCAACCTGCTCTAGCTGCAGATGTCCTTGATCAGTGCAGGGGGTTGCACTAGAGGACTTTGAAAGGTCCCTTCCAACCCAAACCATGCTGTGAACCTCTACAGTTTAAACCAAATGACACTGGAAGTCTCTCCCACAGCGAGGGCATTTTCTGCACCCCCCATTCCCCAGCTAGAGTGAAGTGCCCCTTGTGTTTTGGCTGTCACCTGTCAGGGTGCCATCTGCCATCAGGTCCTGGATTCTGTTGATTGCATCCTGTCCAACAGAGGAAAAAAAACAACCAAGGAATAACCAGCTGATCAAGAGGGAGGTAAAAAGCACATCCTGTGTTCAGCTAACCTACAGATGGAGGCTGCCATTGAATTCCTCACGTTAGAGATAGGTGTCAAACGTGCTCAAACTACAACAAGCCACAACTGCTCTTGAGTCAAAACACAAAATGTTTTTAGTGAAGAGGACAGAGGGAATAAAAAAACAAAGCCTGAAGTGCAGATCTTGCACCGTGAGCTCACTTTGACAGGGTTCTGTGGTGCTCAGAGGGACAATATTCTGGAGCAATGCACCAGAAGATAGAAATCCTTCAAGGGAACAAGGAATTGGAGCAAAGCCCCTCACCTACTGATGGTCTGCAAACATTATGACTTGCCCAGTTACCCAGGCAGAGTCTGAATCTGCTTCTAGCTCTGCTGCTGATGCCCAAGCACCCTGAGAGGCAGCTGGGTGAGAGGCAGGCTGAGCACTCCTCACTGAAACCACCCTGTCAGCCAACAGCCCTGCAGTGGCTGGATGCTGCTCTGATGAACAGCTACAGCTTTAGGGCTGATTTTGTTGAACTTCACCCAAACCCAAGTTTTCAGTAATGCTGAGACACTTGGATATGTGTTGCCTTTAGTCACCCACTTGCCCTCCTCTCATCTGAAACTGGTTTAGTCCTTACCTGTGTTCTTAAGCCCAAATGTGAAGCCAAGTCCTCCAGCTGGATCACCTTTTTTTTCTGTGGACACAAACAAGAGTTACATTCAGTTGATGAATTAGAGCCTTAGCTTATATCTTTTCCTTCCTAATTAAAAAAAAAATGCATTTAACAGACAAAGTAGAACCTGCCATCCTACCTAATGTCCCCTTGTAGGCATTTTTTCTCTGAGGATATACTCTGAAGTCACTTAATCCACTCTGTAGAAAGAGTCTGCTCTGAGACACTGAAGTGGAGACTCAGATGCATTTCTCAATTTTCACCCTGAACCTTCCCTTGTGTCAGGACAGGATGAGCACAAGCACAGCAAACAGCCAGGGCTCTCTTCTCCTGGCCTCCTGAGCTTCTCAGCTGCAACCTCTAACTTACAGTATGCTTTAGAAGGCTCCCTTTTTGTTTGAGGGAAGTTTCAAAGAGGGCCTGTTGGGACAGGAAAAGGTGTGGTGGTTTGAAACTCAAAGAGGGAGATTTAGACTGGATAGAAAGAAGAAATATTTGACACTGAGGGTGGTGAGCCCCTGGCCCAGGCTGCCCAGAGAGGTGGTCGCTGCCCCATCCCTGGCACCATCCCAGGGGAGGTTGGATGGAACTCTGAGCACCCTGCTCTAGTTGGGGATGTCCCTGCTCCCTGCAGGGGGGTTGGATGAGATGACCTGTACAGGTCCCTTCCCACCCAACCCATGCCATGATTAATCACTGGTGTATATCAGCACACACAAAAATCCAGACAAGACTGGCAGCCTGAAGTCCTTCAGTCTGTGTTTTACTAACATGACGTGTATTAATGCCACAAAAAATCCTCCTCAGGCAGGGAACACCTCCTGAGAGCTGCCAGTGCATTCCTGTGCAGGCAGCACGATGATCTGGGGACAACAGGCAGAAGCAGGAGCTGCACATTTTCATTTTGTTTGGAAAGAGTCTTGCTGCAGCCTCTCTCAGCCAGGACGCAGCCACCACGGCTCCCATCTGGTTTTATGCTTCTCTGTAGCTCCAGAGAATTACAGAGAAAACAGCTGGTGGGCTCATCTGGAAGTACCTGGTTCCTGTTTTCTTATCTGCAGAGCTTTAGAAACTCCTCTGTTTAGATGCAGTAACAGGATGCACTCTTTGTAAGGAATTTGGAAAGCAGAAAACTCCCCTAAACTGGGCAGTTAACTCTCTGGACTGCAGGGTTTGGACTTGATTTTACAGCTCTCTCCCAACCAGAAGCTCTTCCAGAGCTGCACCTACATCATCAGCTGCAACATTTCAAATGATAAATGCATTTGTTTCTGATCTTGAGAGCACACTGGGGTGACACTGAAGAAATGAAGGGAAGCTGAAAGAGATGACTCTTTTTTTCGTTGTGAAGCTGGATGCAGCCAAGCTAGAGAACTGAATACCATGGACTGAACACATGGAACTGGAACCAGTCCATGGAATTCAGTTCTCAGAGCTGGGAACTGCCAAGATTCGTCCCATCTTCTGTTCAAAAAGGGGGGTGCAAAGCCACACCAACAAGAAAAACAGGATTTCAACCTTCACTGAAAAGGTATTCACCCTCCACGACCAAGCTCAGTGGAAGCTTTCCAAGGCAGATCCTGCTGTGCAGCAGGGCCCTGAGGGTGGGGTGGGATTAGGATGCACTCCCCACACACTCTGAAATACAATGACATTGTGAGGTCCTAAGCAAACAAATCACTTCACCACATGCTTGGTGTTTTACACACAGGCTTAACTTCCACTGAGCAACACACACACATCCACACTCCACTGAATTCTTTTCATTTTAGGCATGAATCTGCTGCTGTCCTCAGCAAGGGATCAAAGAGGATTGAGGAGGATTTTTTCTTTCCTTATCTTGTGTCTTAAAATCCAGGAAAGGGGAAAGGCTCAGAGTCCTTTGCTGGTGTTTCCAAATGCAGTTTGCTGTTTCAGTTCACTGGCTGCAACTCTGAATGCATTCCATGTTCAGCTTGATGCTGGGGAGAGCAGTTGGATGAGGAAAAGCAACCTGAGGACTGGCCACCAGAATTCTGCAAACACCCAGGCTGGCTCCTGCAGCAGAGACAACCCCACAGCCTGGGCTGTGAGGTGGTCAGACTGAGGTCAAGGGGTTTCTGTCAAGGCTCCCCCAAAAATGGGAGATGCTCAGCTCTCAGAAAAGCAGAACTGGTGGGCATCAACCTTTTGGGCATCAACCTTTTGGGCATCTTTAAGAAAAATCTCATTGAAAACAATCCCACGAGGCAGAGCTGGAGAAAAGAGGCTGCATCTTATTTCAAACACCTTTGGGAAGGAAGCAGGGGGGGAGCCACTTCCAGCCAGTTATACCAGGAAAGTTATTCAACAGAAGAGCTAAATTTTAGTTTTTAAAACTGCCAATTGCTTTTAATTGATGTGGTTTTCAAAGAGCTACAAGCAGCTTAGCACTGCTTCTTGACCTAAGTCAATGGTTTCTGTGACTAGAAGGTGAGGGGAACACAATCTATATATTAAGCAGCCTTTCAAGATTAAAAATAAAAAAAGATACTAAAACTTGCAGAAGAAAGCAATGCCCCAGTTCTGCAACTCATCTCTACAGAGGAAATCAGGTGCTGAAGCACTTCTGACTGAGGTTTTCATTTCTCTGATGTCAAGAAGTGACTAATAGAAAACTATACCCATGTGCCTACTGAGTTTGTGACTAATCTGTTCCATCCATCCCAACCAGCAGGGCAAGGTGCAGAATCAGAGCCCCCTGCTCTGTCAGCCCTTAGAAACCCTCCTGATTTCCATGGAAGGTCCCAAAGGACATTAAACTATCTTCTTGTTCTACCTCCTCTTGCTGGTAGCCAAGCTGCTGGATAAAGAACAGCATGTTTTCCAAAATCAACAGCTTGGCTGTGTCTCCACAGCCTTAGATGGGATGGGAAGGGGTGAGCTGGGGTGACTTCCACAGAAGAGGACTGAAATGGAGGGTGGTCTTCACAGGCATGGCCATTCCCAGGTTCTCCTCCCTTTCAAAGAAACCTCTCTGGCTTCTCAGAATGCTGGAAGTGCTGCATGGCTGCAGAATGGGATGTGCCTTCTGATGGGTCATTGTTGCTCCACAGCTTCACTTGGACTCTTCCCCAGTCTGTTCTCAGCTGTCTCATCCACCTTTGGAGGTGCTTCTGAGAGAGTGGGCTCTGGGTTACTGACCATGGGCTGTTTAGGCTTCAGCACTGACCACAGGTGCTAACTCTGAGCTCAGACATCTCCCAACCCCCCTGAGATCATGATGAGACAGGCAGCCTCTCTCAGCACAGCAGAAGATGCTTTGCAGCAACTCCAGAACGACCCAAGTCCTTGTTCAGACTTGCAGGGCCAGCACTCAAATTGACCTCTTGTGGAGAGTCACCCATCAAACAAATCTCTCTGTAACTGGGGTTGTGCTGGGTAAAAGACAAGAAAAACTGGTCAGGAAAACCAAGTGATTTGTTTACTGATGAAGCCTTTCACATACATTGTCAGGGGAGAGTCCTGTTTCCAGTGAAGGAACAAAGGGATTCATTAGGACAAAAGATTTGCATAACATTGTTGGAATAAGAGTAGAAAAATGCATTTGACCTTTGATAGATCAAGAGTGGAGAGAGGAGTGTTTGTCCTTGCAGGTCAGAAGGGGAAATCCTCCTGAACACACCCCAGGTTTTAAACAACCAATATCATGAGGGGGAGACTAACACACCCTGGTAAAACCAAGCACTCTTCTGAAATAGCCCTGCCAAAAATTCACATGGCACAGATGAAAAACAAGGCAAGAAATCACAGGATTGATTGAGCTGAGACTGTGGAGAGACTGTTTTCTAAATCATACCTGATGCTGACAAACAAAAAGCCCCAAACCTCAATCAACAGCAAAGACTGTTGTTCATAAATCCCATGGCTGATCCACCAGTGCAGATGTTATCATGCCTGTCCTTCAGGAAGAAGGTAGGAGCTACAATCCTGCCCCAAAAAGCCAGGACACCACTTTAATTACAACTCATTTTAACACCCAGGCACACACTTGGGCATGGTTAAGTAAATACAGCAGCTTGATTTCAGCTTTTTACTTTTGCTACTGGTTGAATGTTTAAGGAAATCAAAGAGGAAGGGAAGATTCTCCTTCTTTCTGCAACTCAGCTCTTTGAGAAAGGTATTTTAGACAAGTATGGAAGGAGGAGAAGGAGCAATGGCATCTTACCTTAACATAGTCCAGAAATTCCAGCAGAAAGCTGCGAGACTGGACACAAGCAAAGAAAACAGTTACTTTAAACTCACCAAAATTAAAGGCAGTGCAAAGGTGCTGAGCAGAAATATTATAGAGGTGTTCAGCTTACCTGCTCCCCAAGTTTAGACACACTGAGGGAGACTCTCAACTGGAAAAAAACTCTATAACTAGGTTTAATCTTAACTCCTAATTTATTATGACAGGTATTTTCTAAGACAGAATACAGCTCAAGCAGAGTTTAAGTGCTTTTTTGGAAAAGAACTCTTTGACTCTTTCATTCTCCACATCATACATCCCCTGAAACGACCACATCTGGGTGAGTCTGTGCATTGTTCAGTGACAGATCTGCAGGCTGAGGAGACTGGGTATGAGGTAAAGCATGGGGTGATTTGGGAGAGTGCTCATGCAGATGTTGGGCAGCACAGCTGTGCAGCACATGTGGCAGCCTGAGCTCTTTTCAGGGGCCATGCACCTGAGATCTGGCAGTTTAATATCAACTGCTCAGCGTTCAAAGGCAACACAAACATCATGTGTGCAAGTTCAGAGGAGATCAGGTTACTCTGCAACCCTGGAAATCAATCAGCCTTAATTAACTGCTTGGGCTGAACTCAGGACCTTAATTTCCAGCCTCAACAACACCCAAGCAGAGTCAGCTCTTGTAACAGGACACTGAAATGCTGCAGCACATGATCCATCATGAGGCAGGGGGGTGACCTGCCCTTTCTGCAAGGTGGCTGTCTCCAAAGAAGCAGCTACCTGTGGTTGCTTCCAAACCTGACTTTCAAATCATTAAAGTTCTAAATCCTCACCCCTAGCAAAGATATTTTATGTTGAGAGCCAGGCATCAACTGCCTGCTGGGATCTTTTAAGAGAGGAACACCCTTCTCTGTTCCCATCTACAGAAGGATTGATTTCTCCTTCACAGGCAGCTGTAGGAACACAGACAATAAACATGCTCTGGATTTAAAGGGTGTCTGAAGTGGAACAGTTCAATATTTAGGAATAAATATTTCAGCAGAGGAGCAAACTCACACATAGCCCTGAAAAAAACTCACCACAAAACGCACTGGACAGCTCAAATTTGGCAGCTACAAGCCACAAGCACTTTCAGCATTTGATAGCAGTTAAACTGAGCCTAAGAGGTTTTCAGCAGAGTAAGAGCATTGCCTCCCACAAGAGTGGAACTTTTTTGAGTTTGCTGTGATATTCTGTCGAGTTCTGACATTTCAAGCCCCAGCCCCAGCAGCAGGGCTGCAGGAGCAGCACTCTAGAACATCAAATGCACCAGTTTGAAATACTATTCCCCATAAAAATCATCTGCAGCACCAAAACCAGAGTTATCCAGAGTCCAACCCACAAGGCTGTGCCCTGTCAATTCTCTTAACTAAAGCCTTTTCAGACAAGAGCTTGGTTTTTAACTTCATTTCACAGCAGCTCTGTTGCTCTAGAAAATAAAACCAAACAATTCCCCCCAAGATACTTGGGTTAAACTTCAAATTGAGCCTTGCTTTCATCTGGCCTGTTGGATATGGGTAGGGCAGAGCTGAGCACAGCAAGAGTATCCCAATTCCAGGAGGAGTTTTATTTCAGTCCTCAGATGAAGGGAGGAGAGAACTCATTTCCAGCAATAGGTATTTTGCCTCAGTGCTCTAAACTCACTCACAGGAGTCCAGAATGAGGGACTGTGACATTCCCCAGGAAATTCTCCAGCTTAACCTTTTAGAAGCAAGAACACTTGGCTGCCTCCTGCTTTCAAGTTCATTTTACAGGAGACAGCATGCATTCCCCAGGGAATACTCCAGCTTAACCTGTGCCATATACACCATTTAGCTTTTAGAAGCAAGAACACTTGGCTGCCTCCTGCTTTCAAGTTCATTTTACAGGAGACAGCATGCAGCAAGTGCAACCTGAGACTAAGAAAGACAAAGGGAACTGCTGCAGCAGCCTAACACACATACCTCTTCCTCTGTCATTGATTCTTCAACCCCTTCCTCTTCAACCACAAAACTCTCCTTCAGCTTCAGGTACTCTTCATACTCTCTCTTCTCCTCTTCTTCCTTTGCTTTCCTTTTCTCCTCTTCCTGGACAGAAAAGATGACAAGTGGTCAGTTTGCTCCTCCTCCAGTCAGGTTTAAAGCAAAGTGGCACCTTCTGTAGCTGCTATGACATACAGAGGCTAAAAAGTGCCTAAAATGAGTCTGAGTTCTCCCTTGATGGCATCATCATTCATTTCAGAAGGCACCATCTCACAGGGCAGTGTCAGCTTGCACACCATCCACCTGGGCTGGTTCTGAAGAGCCCTGACACAGAGAAAACCCCTCTTATATAGCAACCTGCTCCCTTCATTTGCATGAGTGCTTCTTCTGCAGGTCCCGTGGCAGGAAGTCCCTGCCCCTAACTGTACTTTGCTGCAACATCCACGTTTTCAGCAAGTGGCCCCAATTCTGCTCTAATGTGCCCTAGGATTGGGAGTGGTCATGAAGAACAGAGTTACACTGGTGCCCATCTGCAGGGGAGAAGCAGCTGGCCTGCAAAAGTTTCAAAATCTTGCTCTTCTGACCTACCAGCAAAAAAGTTTGGGGAAGAAAAATGTTTCTTCCATGGAGAAATTGATGTTTGTACAGCACCTGGTACAATGAGATTCCAACTGGATGGGTCTCTGGCTGCTATCTCCTTGATTAGAACATAGAAAAATGAGTTTTTCACATTTCAGTGACAATTTCTGGGCGTTCCTTTACTGTTAGCAGAGGAATTGATCACTTCAAGATCAACTGCATTGATTTCTAAATGCTTGCCATACCACATCTTTGACATTAATAGGGTAATTGCTTCCTTAAATGGCTGGAAAGCAAACACGTGTTCCATTAAAACAGGAAGAGCCAGGAGAAGTCATTAGGTACAGTGAAAGATACCCTGATTAAAAAAAAAAGATGCCATGTAAGGCCAAAATCAGCAAGAAACCAGAAATGGGGATGGGGGAGTTCAACAAAAACTGAAGGGAAAGCATATTGGATCCCAAATGTATTGAATCAAACTCCCAGAAAGTCAGGAGAAGGGGTGCTACCAATGTGCAAAACAGGCTCAAAAGGATCTTAGTCTATGTTCAAAGTCAAAAACCATTTTCTTTTTAAATCACAAAAAAACCCTTGAAGCTCTTGAAGACAAAACAAAACCATTTTCTGGGTTGGTCACCACTGTAAGGACTATATGAGGAAAAGCCCAAGAGCAGAGATTTATTTTTCCCCTTATAAGCACTGCAGGTGCCAAGAACAACAGATCCATATTTCATTTGGAAGTGCTGGTAATTGTTCCTTTCTTCTAAGTGCATTATTTTCATCTTGAGCCTGGAAATGTAAGAATAAGCTTCTTCCCTTGCTCTATCACAGAGGTAACTCAACAGGATTTGAAATGAGGAAAAAAAAAAAACCCTAAAACCAATCACAAAACTTGAAAATTGCTTTGGCAAATAATTTCCAGATGGTTCTATCAAAAAACCACCCAGCTGCCTCCTGGCTTTTCCTACCTATATGCACCTCAGATTCAGTCTGGAGAAAGCAGAAGGATTTGGCCAGATTGTGAGCTGGTTCAAAGCCAAGAGGAGATGACTCTGCACAACTGCCCTGGGAGAAGGGCCCAGCAAGGGCCGTGCCAGCTGAGCTGGGGGAACCCAGGAGAAGACAACCTGGCTGCTGACACCTTTTCTCAGCTCTTTTCCTCACCCTCACATGCCCCAGTCACACAGCAGTTGCCTGGAAGCCCCAGGGTCACAGTCAGGCAGGCTGCACTCCCACAACACCCAGGCTGTCTGGCTGTGATCACAGCTCCCAGATGGGAACACTCTCAGCAGCCCAGCACTCCCTCCACACGACTCATTCAAGGGCCACTCAGCTCAGATATAACCTCAGACCCCTTCCCATCTTTGCTGGGCAGGTTTCTTTGCCCCTCCCCAATCTGATCTGGTGAACTGCTGTGGAGTTAAGTGGTAAAACAGGTGGCTCAGAGGAGAGATAAGAGCTGGGCCTCCTCCCTTCACCCCCCTGGGTGGGGTGGTGGGGAAATCCCAGCAGGATGGAAATTTGGTAACTGCAGATGCTCACCTTCAGCTGCATTTATTTTTTGAAGCAGGTTTGCTTCCCCCCCTCACTGAAATGCACCCCAAACTTTGGGGTTTGCTACAGAGTAAAGATTTCTTTTTGATCAGTTTGCTGTGATGCATGGGAAGAAGAAACTCTAAACCAGACTTTGATCCTGTCTTTATTGAAAAAAAAAACAAATGAACCACTCAAACCTTTCTTCTTTCTCTCCTTTTTTCTCCCCAAACATCCACACTGGATCAACTCTACCTCCACAGGCTTGCTGTGAGGCTCATGTGCCACCTTGACCTTCCAGAGCTCCATGGGCATCTCTGGCCCCTTGGGAAACACTTTCCATCACCCTTAACCCCTTCCTGTACCAGACCTGGTCAGCACCAACTTCCCACTGCACCCAGTCCCAGTCCTTCCACTGTGCCCCAGGCTCCCTTCACCCCACCTGCCCCCAGGACCTGGATGTGCTGTGAGGCTCCCTTCAGGTCATTACCTTCTGCTTGCCTCTGACCTTGATCTCAGTGATTATTTCCATGGCATCACAGAGCCACAGAATGGTTTGAGCTGGAAAGGACTCTGGGCAGGGACACCTCCCACTAGAGCAGGTTGCTCAAAGCCCCATCCCACCTGGCCTGGAACATTTCTAAGGATGGGACATCCACAACTTCTCTGAGCAACCCATTCCAGTGTCTCACTAGACCAAAGAGATGAATTCTGCCAACTGCACAAGAGCTCAGTCTTTTACCAGGTGACACCCCCAGCAACTCATGAATTCTCCCAACTGCACAACAGCTTTTACCAGGTGACACCCCCAGCAACTTGCAAACTCTTTTAGACTTGCAGCTGGAAGCAGACCTCGAGTCTTGGGATCACAAATCCCTCTGGAGTCCTGGAATGCTGCCTGAGTAACTGCACAGCTCTGGCTGGTTGACAGATCACAGCTTTTGGAGGTTTATCATGCATGACTATTATCAGCAGAGGGTGAGGACCTCGATGACAGCACTCAGCAAGAAGACCTTGCACCACCATTTCTAGCTTGCAATGCAGTAACCCACTTAAGGTGACACTTGGCCTAAGTGATATTGGCCTACAGAGTAAGTGGCTTTTCCTGAGAGCTTTGCCTAAGCAGCTTTCCCAGTGAGGAAGCTGCCAGTTGTGAGCTGTGCCAACTCTCCTCCAAATCAGATAAAGGACCAACTTGCTGACAAACAAATCAGTTTTAGGCAGCTTAATCAGCTGCTAAGTGGAAGAGATCTCATTGCTAGTGAGGAAGGTTGAGCAAACACAGGACTCTCCTCAGCCACACCACCTGCTACCAGTCACTCCCTGTTTGTGGCTGGTTCCTTAACCTGTGGGATGAGAAAGATCATGCTGGCTCCTGTGCCAAATTCTTTGGAGGTTCATGGACTGAAGAAACCCTCCTTGTGTGACTTCCAGCTTGTGTGCTGTGACTGCAGGTCCTGCAGGATGCAAAAGGGGACTTTACAAGTAGATCATGAAACTCCAGCCCATTTTTATTGAGGCACTGAAATGCTAATCTGAAAGCCTAAATGAAATTGCCCCAGTTTGGGAACTTGGGACAGATAGACTTGAGCAATACAGATCTTGTCTGAATGTAGCTAGGAACAAACACACACCAGTGCTCCCTCCTGCTGTGGCCTTTTATTTCACAACAGTTAAAAGCTGGCTCATTGCAAGACCAGTGGTTTCCTTACTGTATCAAGCTCTGTCCACTCTGGAGAGGATTTACAGCCTGTTCAGGGCTGTTTTAGCCTAGAAGAGGGATAGCTGTGAGGCCTCCATTGGCACAAGCAGTCTCCTTAGGAGGGCAAATTCAGCCTGAGGGAGTAAAACCTTCAAAAATCCTTGTGCAGAGGAATAAAAAAAGCTATAAAAAGCTCCTGTGCCTGCAGCCTGCAAGGCTTTGTGTGAAGGCACTGTTTTGCAACATCAGAGGAAGTTCGCTGTCATTGATAAGGTGTCGGCTGGTAAACCATCTCACCACTAAAAAACTCCAAGGGTGAAAGGGAAATCCCCAGGGCAGAGCAGAGCTGAGGCAAGTGCCACTTCTAAAGGAGCTCCCCTGCATGCCCAGCCAATCAGGGCAGCAGAACCCTGGAGAGGAAACCTGAATTTAAAAATACAGCAGCTGGTTTGCGACGCCGCAGCCAAGGGGCGACCACATTTCATCTCTCTGGGCACAGGAGTGTATCTGAAGAGACCCAGGGGGTTCTTTTTCTCCAGAATAAGCAAGATTTTTGCCTCTGTAGCTCCCCTGAAGGTACTCGTAGAGATGCCCCACAATAAATGGACATATCCATTTGCTTCTGAAAGAAAACAGGTTTTCAGCTCACTCAAGAATTCACCATTTCCAGTAGACTTCATAACTCAAATTACTTGAGTGGGGGGGTGTGTGTGAAAGGGTTAACAGCCCCAGTGACCTTATCAAAGATCAACACTGGGGAATTTGTAGAAGATCTGCCTGCTGCAACATGTTTTTCTATCCTCCTGAATTTATCTGGCTTCCCTCATCAGCTGACAAACTTTTAGATGGTGTGTAATGGTGCAGGAACCACCTATTGCTGCTGCCAAGAATTCAGCTGTTGAATTCAACCTGTAGCTGAAACTGTTGGGAGATTGTCCCTCACCCTTCACTGAAGTTCTCCCCATTTTGGTAGCACTTTTTGGGGAGAGAGAGAGAGGGGAAACAAAAAGTTCAGCTGAAATTTAGCTCACAAAGGTGTTTGTTTGGAGACTAACTTTTCCTGGAGGCTGTAAATCTTCATCAGTGGCCTCAATACCTTTGGTGTACAGCAGAAGAAAGAAAAACTGAGAGACTTGCTGCTGTCACTGTACCTGCAGAGACCTCTGAGGTACTGGAAAAGGAAAGAAATGAAGCCAGCTGTAGCATTTCTCAGCCTTAAACTCTCAATTTCTTGTGCCTTTTGGGATTATGTGAATGCAGAAATAGCAGCAATCAAACTGCCTCTAAAAATCACTCTTCTCACCTCCTAAATTAATTGGAGGAATGCAGTTATCCCATGTGTAGTCCACAAAGGCTGATCCATCACAAGAGATCACTCCTGGACATGAAAAATTCTTTATCTGGAGGAACATCTATGTGACACTTTCTCCAATGTACTCTCTAAACCCCACAATCAATCCAATGATCCCTTTATTCATTTATAGGGGCCAGGAGAGAGGCAGCAGCTTTTCCATCCCTCTAACAAGATCTGAAAGATAAGATGTTATGATGATAAAGACAGGCCACGCTTACATGCACAGTAATCAAGCAGCTATTAATTCAATTTGTTTCCCCTCCTATCACCCAGTCAAGGCTGAAACAGCCCAAGTCTTGTCCTGAATTGTTCTGGTTCCTGTTAAACCAAACAAAAAAAGGATAAAATTACAGAATTTAAGTAGCCAAGGTACTGGTTCAGGTGACTAGCAAGGTAGATTCAGGCTTCCAAGGAGTTTTCAGAATTCTAGTAGTTATTCCTTTGGACTGTTGAGCACAGAATATAAAAAAATAATTAAAAAATAAAATCAGTCTTAGTTTATATTCCCCTTTCTCACTGAGCCTTGTGAAATGGAGGTGGAATGTTAACAGGAGTGCTGAAAATTGAAATAAAACCAAGAGTTTCCTCATTGATCCAAAATTAATTCCTCAGCCCTAAACTGAAGGAAATTAGGGAAAAAAAAAAGCTAAATAGGCTAATAAGCACTTTCTGTGTGAGGTTAGAATTTCACCCTTAGTTTCTACTCAACTTTTCAACCATGCCTGGCTGATCCAGCTTAGGCAGCTGCACTGCTAAACCCCTGGTCAAACCCATAGACAATTAACAGGATAAGATCTTACCTAGGAAAAAAAATTAAAAGATAAAATTGTAAATATAAAATAATAATAATAAAAAAAACACTTCAAAGAATACACCACTGGAGAGAACTTGGTCAGTTCTCTCTTGTGCTAGGCAAGCAGGGGAGGCAACAGATCACTGTCCAATCTCAGGATTCCAGCTTTGATCCCTAGCAGGTACTTCTAACTCTGTACATCTCTCACAGAAAGGCAGCTGTGGAGTCACTGGTCCCCTGGAAGTTTACTCAAGCTGCTTCACAACTAAAAAATCTTGGACCATGTTGCACATGCTGATGTTTTAGTACTGACTCTACTCATCCACTTCAACTTCTGAAATTCAGGAGCCTTCTACTGATGAGAAATTAATGAGAGAATTCAGAAGATAAAGGATTTTGAGGGGGGTAACCCCAGAGGTAAACATACATGCTACAAAAGACTTCATGGATATACTCTGCACAGGAAACATATAGAAGAATAAATGAATTGCTTTATCCTCCTTTTATGATCCCAACAGAGGAAAAATAGTCTTTTCCTCTTGTGTTACCAGCAACACACTCCACTTACCAACCTGTGCTCAGAGCAAATGAAAACACATCTGCTCACTACAAACCACAGGCAAATTTCCATCAAGTGCCCACTGAAAGCTGGGGCTACGCTGCCCTGGGACAGGCCAGGATGGTGCCAACCCCTTGGTCCTCCTCTCCAGAAGCACTTTGGAAAGCTACCACACAGCTTACTCGAGCCCCAGAGGGCATGAAGCTCAGTCCCACTTCTCAGCTAGTAGCACTGATGGCCAGAATACAAAAGGCAGCTCTGAAATAAGTTTGTCTCCCTCACTGATGAAAAGAACTCAGCAAAAGCACTGTGGGTGCACAGTACCTGCTCTTCTGGGTCACTCCTGTCAACACATGCCCTCCTGTGAGGAGTTTGGAAGCCTTTCCTTGTGAAGCACGTGTAGATTTGTATAATTAGAATAAAATGATAGCATCTGACACAACAGTTGTGAAATCAGTTGCTGATGTCTTTCACTTTCTGCCCTGCTGGTTCCAGCTGTCGGGCAGGTGGCTCAAGTGAGCACCATGAACAGGGGCTGGGGAGAGTGGAACACAGTCACAGGATGGGCTGGGTGGGAAGGGACCTGTACAGGTCATCTCCTCCAACCCCCTGCAGGGAGCAGGGACATCCCCAACTAGAGCAGGTTGCTCAGAGCCCCGGCCAACCTCACCGGGTATGGTGCCAGGGATGGGGCAGCGACCACCTCTCTGGGCAGCCTGGGACAGGGGCTCAACACCCTCAGGGTCAAACATTTCTTCCTTCTCTCTAGTCTAAATCTCCCTCTTTGAGTTTCAAATCATCCCATTGTCCTGTCACAGCCGACCCTGCTCACAAGTCCACCCCCATCTTTCTGGCAGGCCCCTGGCAGCCCCCAGCAGGTCTCCCCAGCTGGAGCCTTCTCCTCTGGGGCTGCCCCAGCCCAACTCTCTCCTGCTGGGCTCCCAGCAGAGGGGTTCCCCCCTCGGGGCATTGCTGGGGCTCCTCTGGCCCCGCTCCAGCAGGTCCCTGGCTCTGCTGTGCTGAGGACTCCAGAGCTGCCCCAGCACTGCAGGGGGGTCTCCCAGAGCTGGCAGAGGGGCAGGATCCCCTCCCTGCCCTGCTGCCCACGCTGCTGGGGGTGTAGCTCAGGCTGCTGGGGGCTCCTGGCCAGCTCCTCACCCCCAGCATCCCCAAATCCTTCTCCACAGGAAGAAGCTCCTTTGTTAAGAGAAACTTGGAGCTGGGCTGGTCAAAGTGCTGAGCAGCTTGCTGTAACTGGACATGGTTTGAGCAGGAAGATAGACCCTATGGTCTCCAGAGGTCTCTCCCAACCTATATTATTCTACAATTCTGTGATAACCAAACTCATCCTGTCAGACAGCAAGCAAGCAACTCCCAAAATTTCTCTTGCTGGGAGGAAGAGAGGGAGCACTTCCCTCCTTCTGCAATTAAACAGCTCCCAGATGAATGAAGGGCTGATTTTATCAGCTATGTTTGTCAACATAACAAAGTGACCAAAGAACCTGTTGCTGTGGCACACAGAGCAGCAGCAGCCCCAGCACCAGGAGATGAGCTGGTGTTTGGCCCCAGACTCTCAGTTGAAGTAACTGAGGGCTAGAGGAATTCCAGCAAAAGGGAGCAGCAGGAAACCAAATTAAGAATGTATAGAAAGGCAAAGAGAGTTGTGCTGGTCACAGAAGCAACCTGAAAGAGAGACTTGGTTCAGACTTTCCATGTATAAATCCACCTATAATCCCACCTGTCTCTCCTCCTCAAGGCGTATTCTCTCCTCTTCTTTCCGCCTTTCCTCCTCTCTCTTTGACTCAAGTTTTCTCCGTTCTTCTCGCTCTGCTTCTTCAGCCTAAAAAACCCAAAAATCAGTTAATCCAAGCCTAGCCTTATTCCTCCTGAATACACATGTTTTCACTGCAGATTTTGAAACCATGAGGGGGGTTTCTTACTGTCTTCCTGGTTGCATCTTCTGAAAGAAACAGTGAGGAGAATAAGGACAAAAAATAAAGTCATTATCATTTAACTCCTCTCCACACCTCAATCTTCAGCTTACTTAAAATGTTAAGTTTAGAAATTACTCTGCTCACTTGCATTAGCTGTATCTCAATAAGGGTTTAAGCTGGGTAAATGCATAGGAGTTTGTTGTTATAGTGGCAGTAAGTAATATTATCTCATAGCAAACTATTTCTCCTCAAAATTTAGTTAGAAGGGACTTTAAGGAGAGGAAAAAAAAAGAGAGGAATATAAACTCTAGAAGCCCAAGTACATTCAAATTTATCATTAACCTGGGTAGAATCTCTTAAAGAAAAGATGTACTCCTCTCTTCAAATCATTCTATGATTTGTTTTTAAACCAAACCTAACAAAAGGGTTATTGAGAAAATAAAAAGGGTGTTCAGCCATTCAGAGGATTTGTGGCTTTGACAGTTTTAGAGAAAAGGACCTAACCAAGGAGTTTGTCTACATGGGAAAATAAAAATCAGCATGTTATCAAATGAAACAAAAGATTCCTCACTCCACTGACTGATGCTTATCTGACTTCATTCAACTTTGCTCAGATTTTCCACAAAAAAGAGGCTAATTAAAGAGAATGCACGTGGAAAGTAATGACAAAATGGTTAAAGCACAGACTGAGGAAAGGCTGGTAATGGAAGTTTACACATCACACAACAATCAGGTTTATTACCAACTGCCCTATCTATACAGGGCACAGCACTGGAGTGTAAAGCAGAAGCTGGATTTAACCCTCAGGTGACACTAAAACTCTTATGATGGGATTTCACTGGCTTTGTTTGGCCTCTCTGCAGGTTAGAAGTGTCCACAGTTTCACAATCCCTGTCTTTGTGTAAGATCTGTGAAGTCCACCCTGCACTGCAGCCCATGTTAGGCAAAGGCTGCTGGAGTTTTATCTACTTGCAACCTCAGGGTCCAAGTTCCAGAACAATACAGAGTTTGCAAAAAAAATGGACAAAACAACTAAAAGGAATTCATTCACAAGGTGCTGCCATCCACCAGCAGGCTTTGGAAACTAAGTTTCCCTCTTGCTTCCCTGGAATTAACAGCAACAGGCTGGGCAAAGCTGAAAAAAAATGCAACAGGATTTAAGTACTTTTGCACAGAGATTTAGGAAAGAAGTGAAAAGCTACAGCCTGCATACTTGGCCTCTGTTTAAAAGCCAAACTTCAACCCAAATCTGACTGCATCACACATTTCAGTGGATTACAGGGTCTGCTTTTCATCTCCCCCAAGCCAGAGGAACAACAAACATGGCTCAACAGAGATAAACCCCCAAAGGGTTTGCACTCTGAAATGCTGCTCAGAGCTGCCCAGGCTTTTGGTCACAGCACCACGTGGGTGCTGAGGGTATTTCTGAGGGGAGCCAGTCCTGACATAAAGCTGCAAACCACTGGAAACATCCCATAAAAAGCATTCAGGAGTTTAACTCCTCTCTGCTCTCCCCCCCCTCAGAATGCCAGAGAACCTAATGGAAAGAAAACAAGACAGCATTTTCCACAGTCCTCTTGGGATAGGACAGGAACAGCTGACTTGACAGTTTTAACCCCAAAAACACTCTAGTGATGACACTGCCTTGGCTATTCTGGGGTGTCTCTGGTCACCAGTTTTGTGGAGTGCTGCAAATCAGGCTCTGCTCTGGGCTCTCTACGTGGCAGGAAATACTTACCTCTCTCTGTGCTTTTCTGGCTTGTTTCTCTTCTAATTTCCTCTGCTTCTTTGCTCCAATTTTCCCAGACACCTGAAATTCTGGCACCTCTTCAGCATCATCTTCCTCTGTGTGAAAAACACAGACTTTTAAATCATCTGTGGAGTCCCTTTGAGAAACTCCACTGCTCCCTGGGAAAGCAGCAGCAGATGAAAAGGAGACACACACACACACCCATTTCAGAAAAAGCCTGTTAGATGGAAAAAGGCAAAAAAAAAAACCCCCTCACACAAGACTGCCAAAGCCACAGAGTAGAAGTAACAAGGCAAACACACACTCAAAGAGAAGCCAGAGGTAAAACTTGATCTTTTGAAGGAAAGCTTTTCATAAACCTTTCCTGCTTTCCACAATTAAAAGACACAGCTTTTCTTACATATAAAAGGTGCTAATGGGTGTCATGACAGGAGTGCCTAACACCCACCTGCAGAGACCTTCTTCCCAGCTACACTGAGGCTCAGCACAAGACACCTATTCCCAAAGTGGAATTCAGAGGCACACCACTTGTCCCCTAGCTAACCTTTAATGGAGGAGGGAAACAACCAAAATCCCTGCAATGCAAATCCCAGCACGGTGCCAGGGGTTGGAAGGGACCTCTGGAGATACCTCATCCCACCCCCTGCTCCAGCAGCTCCCCCCCAGCAGGGTGCCCAGGGTCACAGCCAGGAGGGTTTGGGATCTCTCCAGAGCAGGAGACTCCACAGCCTCTCTGGGCAGCTGCTCCAGGCTCCAACACCCTCACCCCAAAGAAGTTTCTCCTCCTGCTCAGGTGGCACCTCCTGGGTTCCAGTTGGTGCCCGTTGCCCCTTGGCCTGTGGCTGGGCACCACTGAGCAGAGTCTGGCCCCAGCCTCTTGCCCCCCGGGGCCCTTGAGCTCTTGCTCAGCACTGCTCAGATCCCCTCTGAGGCTTCTCTTCTCCAGCTCAGCAGCCCCAGGGCTCTCAGCCTGGCCTGGCACAGAGATGCTCCAGGCTCCTCAACAGTTTTGTAGCCTCCACTGGACTCTCTCCAGTAGTTTCCTGTCTCTCTTAGAGAAACAAGTCCAAGAATCTTGGGCTTGATGGCACCAAAACAACATGTAAAGAACTCCCTGTTGTACAATTTGAAGCTGAAGAGCTTTCTGAAGATGAGTTCTGCAGCTGTGAGCTCTGGAAGTGTCAAGCTCAACTGCTCTGCAAACCCATTCTACTTCTGCTCACCCAGAGACTAAAGAAGACTGAAGAGCTTTTAAGGACTGCCATTTCCTCCTCATCTCATGTCTCATGAATATTTGGCCACTTTATTTGCTGATCTAAATTAGTCCTTGATCCTACAACATAAGTACTGTGGGACTGCCCTCAGCACTCAATGAGAAATCATGAGCTCACTTCAGGAGCCACTACACAACAGCTAGAGATCCACGAGCTTGAATCAGATGGCAGAATCAAAAATATCTTTATCAGAAATAAAATTTAGCCCCTGTCATCAGAGGGGAAAAAAACCCAATCCCCCCCTTGCCCAACCCCTCAGCCCTTGGTTTCTAAGAGTGGTTTAACAAGAAGAAAAAAGCTCCTCATGTTGAGGACCAGTTTGATAAGAGCCTGCAGCAGCTGGGCCTGGAGCTGATCCTACTGGGGCAATCACCAGAACTGGTCTGGTGGAGGTTTTCTGTAGGAGTTCCCCCCCATAGCACCTCGTGCCCTTTACTGGGAACCCAAAAAAACTGTTCCTAAAGGATGACTGAGCCTCACCTTGCTTTTATACACACAATTTGGTTTGAAACACTCTTGTTTTACTAATCCCACCACACAGCATGGTAGGATGGTTAAGCCACTGAGACACACCACCAGAAACAAATGCAACTGAGAGCTGTGTAGGTGGCTCTCAAATAAATTCACTGTTTTCAGGGGATTTGAGTCAACATGAGGCAGGCTGGCTGAACTGGGCTTCAGAGAATTACTGCTATCTGATTATTGAGCTGATCAAAAGGGTTCCCCCCCTTCCCACACCACACAGAGAGCAGCAGAGGACACTCAGGCTTGACACAGTTGCTTCTACAAATTTGCTGAAGCTTAAAATAACTTTATTTCTATTTTAAACACCAGGCTAAGGGGAGTTCCAAACTCGACGGGTGAGTGACCCAGCATTAGCAGTTGTTAGTCTAAAATGAACAGTTTGGTACTTGTGTTAGTCTTCAAAAAGTTATTTCTGGAAAACACCACAAGTGTGAAACTCCATCTATGACACTGTTCAACTGGAGGCTCTGAGAGCTACTCAGATTTCATCTATATGAAGTGTATCTGAGCTGGAGGTTAGGCAGGAGTCTAGAAAGGCTTTTAAAGCCTTCTCCCAGTCCTGGGTCAATGCCACTCATGTGAGGGGTGAATTCTGGTCATCTGCAGCTGATCAAGAACACCAAACCTCAAGGTAGACAGGACCCTCTTCACCTGAACTGCTTGGAGGTGACACCATGAGCCTGCTTTCAACCACAGCCACAACCCCACCAACACATTCTGGTCCATCTTTCAGTCCAACAGAACTTGTACCAACATCTCCAGAGCTTCTGAAACTCTGAAGAGACAGAAAGCAGAAACAGTTTAACTCACAGTGATGCTTTCACATCACTTTACATGTTCTGCCTTACACAAACATAGAGTTTGCTCAACTAGAGCATGATGGAGCCCTGGAGCAGCTGCCCAGAGAGGCTGTGGAGTCTCCTGCTCTGGAGAGATCCCAAACCCACCTGGCTGTGACCCTGGGCACCCTGCTGGGGGTGAGCTGCTGGAGCAGGGGGGTTGGGTGAGGTGATCTCCAGAGGTCCCTTCCAACTCCCACCACACTGGGATTCTGTGAAGGTTTCTAACTAAGTTCTGGAAGTGAAGTAAATGGATTCCCATGACCAAAAAAAGGACACAAGTTGCACACATGGCTACTCACACCCAGTCCTTTGGGCACAACCAGCTGCTTTAGTTACTATTTACACAGCATCTAGCAGAAGAGAGAGGAGGAGAAAGATGCCAGGCAAAACAAATAGTTCATCCTGAAGGCACAGAACATGCACTTGCTATTGACACTGAGTAGATGTAGGACACCAGCCACTGGGAAGGAACTGGGCGACCAAGGTATGGACATCTGTGAGTCCCATGTCCCAACCATAATAATTGTTATATATTTATTTTCCCCTTAATTTAGTAGTTACCCAATTTAACAACAGAACGAGACATTGGCTTATTAATCTGGAGACACAAAACCAGCCCAGGGTTAGGCCAGAAAAAGGACAGCAAACAAAGGCCCTTCTGAGCAGAAGTCAAAGGACTTGGAAGCTTTTTCTCTCCAATAAAGCCAGGTGGTATTACTGAGAGCCCCCACATCTACCCCTCCACACACCCCCTGCACCTGAAATGTCTCCAGGGCATGTGGACACTCTGAGAACACTGAAGTCACTTTCTGTATGAATAGGAGCAAGTCAAAATCAACGTTTGATTCACTAGTTAGGGTCAAAGGACTTGGAAGCTTTTTCTCTCTCCAATAAAGCCAGGTGGTGTAACTGAGAGCCCCCACATCTACCCCTCCACACACCCCCTGCACCTGAAATGTCTCCAGGGCATGTGGACACTCTGAGAACACTGAAGTCACTTTCTGTATGAATAGGAGCAAGTCAAAATCAACGTTTGATTCACTAGTTAGGATATTAGTCGTCACAGTTTAACTGTCCTAGAAAGGTTTTTCCTACTGATTAAGCAATAAAATGATTTCAACTACTACATCAATTAATTTAGCTCTATCACCAGCAGTTTCCCAAGAACAGCCTAGGACCACACCTGTGTTTCTACCTCCATATATTCTCCAGATCTTCCAGCACACCAGACTATGGAGAGATGCAATGTTCCACAAAAGGTAGAGTCTGCTCAGAAAAACTCCTTCTTGTATTGGCAAATTCCACCTTAAACCAGGTTCTTCACTTTAGTTTACACACAGTATCCATCATGGAATGGGGATTCAAAAATTACAATTATTTTTATATTCTTTTTTCCCCCCAAACTAGCAGAAAACACAGGAGATTTTTTTTAGATTCAAGATTTGAATGCTGGACTTACAGGCTACACGAAGCAACAACAGGCATTTTAAAATGCCCTAATAATATATTCCTAAGGCCATTTTTGGATTGTTTTGTGCTTTCTTCCTCAGTCAGGATTAGCCCTCCTGAAGGAAAACAGGAGATTTTGATCTCCAAGTCTTGCCAAGCAAAAGAAGAGAGGAACTTGGGACTTAATTTCTGTTGGAAGCGTTCAGTTCTTGTTATCACTTTTGATTTTAGAAGCTGCAGCACTCAGTCTGTCAAAACCTGTTCACTTTCTCATTATCCATTCCGTGCAAGCAAATTTAACCCAATGTTCACTGCACTGGACATTCCTAAATCAGTGCTTGGATGTGAAGGGCTAAATTCCAACTAGTCCCAACCCCCTGCCATGGGCAGGGACACCCCCCACTAGAGCAGGGTGCTCCAAGCCCCATCCAGCCTGGTCCTGTGTGTTTGTAGGACGTGGCAGTGAGCACCTTTGAAGGTTAAACCCTTGAAAGTGCTTCCTGGAAATGGACTGGGCTGCTTAAGAATCCTTCTCTTCTGCCTCATGTCTTTATCTAGCTCAGCCTCACCCACCAAAGCCCTGTCTCTGGAGGGGTTTCCAAGCTGTGGAGATGTGGTGCTGAGGGACATGGGGCAGTGGGGACCTGGCAGTGCTGGGGGAACAGCTGAACTTGATCTGAAAGGTCTCTTCTAATCAAAACAATTCTATGAAATTACAGAACTAAAACTTTTATGCAAACACCAGATTGGCTGGGTCACTTTCTGCTCCAAGAAGCAAAAAACAAGAGTGTCAAGAGAAGTACCTGCTCCACTGCAGAGCTCTGCTGTGTTGAAGGCACAAGGAGCAGGTTTGGAAGCACAAACTCAACTGGAGAACTGCAACATTGCTTTTTCTGCTTGTGACCAGCAGCCAGACAAGAGCTCTCACCAAACATCTTCAAGGTGGTAAAAGTCCAAGTGGAGGCACTCAGAGCAACCAGTGAGGCAAAACCCAGACCCAGAGATCCTCTCCTTGCTCAACAAATAAATGGGATCTGAAACTGGAAAACAGCTACTGCTATTTATTCACACACCCCTGCCCCAGGCAACCCTCAAGGAGATTCCAGTTTATCTCCTTTCCCCCACATCCTTTCACAGCTCATTTTGGCCTCTCCTGCCCTAAATGAGCAATGCCTGATGCCTGCACACATTTATGCCTTGCAGTGAGTTTATTTTCATCTTGAGGGCTGGAGCACCTCTGCTGGGAGGCCAGGCTGGGAGAGTGTGGCTAAGAGCTTGTGGCAACAGGACAAGGGGGGATGGTTTTAAACTAAAAGAGGGAAATTTAAATTAGGAAGGAGATATTTTTGACACTGAGGGTGGTGAGCCTCTGGCCCAGGCTGCCCAGAGAGGTGGTCGCTGCCCCATCCCTGGCACCATCCCAGGTGAGGTTGGCCGGGGCTCTGAGCACCCTGCTCTAGTTGGGGGTGTCCCTGCTCCCTGCAGGATGAAATGACTTTGAAAGGTCCCTTCCAACCCAAGCTGTGCTACAATTCCATGACCTTGGCTATAGCTGTCCCCACAAAGCCACTTCTGTCTGGGCTCAATTTAAATGAAGATAAAACAGAGCTAATTAAGTCTGCTAGCTGGGATATCAGAAGCAATCTAACCACATGAATACAGAACTCTCCTCCCAGACTCATTTTCCACAGGCACCCTCTACCATGTGCAGAGCAGACGTCCTCTGGGCTGCAAGAAAGCCAGTAGTGTTATGACTGGAACTGAACTGGGCAATATAAGCCAAGCAAAGCCACCTTGGTAGAGCCAGCCTGGGAGCCATGCTGGTAGAACACAGCTCAGGGGCCTCAGGCAGTCTGAGAATCACTTTGTCACCACTGAAGAATATCTCCCCAACAATCTCTGGTCATCAAAGGATATTAATAGTTGTTGATATTCTCATAACAGAACGACCTCCTTGGAGTACTCAAACCACTGAAAAACATGACTCAGGCAAACCAAACCCCTGGCTGGGGGGGCACAGCACCCCTGAAAGCACAACCCACGTATGCCCCAGGGGCTGGGATTCTGCTAGGGAAGCTGAGGCATTTTGGGCTTCAATGTTCATTTTCTGCCTGAGACTCAGCAAATTTAGGTGTCTATGGCCA